TGCTAGCTATGGGCTCTCAAGAGGGAATGCTACTACGTTGCACAACAGAAGCCACGGACAGCTCCGGCACTATCGAAGAAATCATGATTGAGCCACGTGTAGCCATGTCCAACGTGTTCATCGACCCTACAGGCGCTCACGTGCTTATTTCAATGGAAAATGGCTCCAATTTCTATCTACACACGGGGTCTACACGTCCCAAGAAGATCATGAAGGCTCAGGCACTACAGTTCACCAGTGTAGCGTGGGACCGGCAATCAGGATCACCCGAAGCTTCAGAACCTATTCTCATTGGTACAGACTCTGGCGCAGTCTTTGAAGCGGAATTTGACGGAGGCAAGGAGAAATCCTTTAAGAAAGTGTATCAGATCTCGAATCAGGGACCAATTGCCGGCATTGGCTTTGAGCACTGGAAGCTGCCGTCCGGTGACTTACGGTACTATGTCATGCTGACCACCTCAGCGTCTGGAAAGAGACCGACGCGTATGTTCCAGTTCATTGGCGGCGGTTCTGGTGGATTAGAGACCATGTTTAACGAGTACACCAGTCCGGATAAGCTGAGGTTCCAGGAACTTCCCGGAGATATTACCACTGCGGAGCTGCGGTTCTATGCCAAGCAGGAACGCGAACGTGCTAAGGGCTTTGGTGTACTGACAGGAGAGGGTGTATACCATGGCGACTTTGTGTTCGGTCTATCCAGTACTATGGAGAACGTGACGACGGGTACGGGTCTGCTGGCGTATCCTGGTAAACCTGATAAATCGTCGGGTAGTCGAGGCTCTTGGACGCCCCCGATCTCGATGGCAGTGACCCAGTATCACGTGATTTTATTGTATACTCGCCATGTCCAGGTGGTGTCCAAGTTGAGTGGTGTGGTGGTGATGGAGGAGACGTTCGACTCACGTGTGGGCAATGTGCACGGTATCACTGTGGATGATACGTTCAACACAGTGTGGATCCACTCTAACCGTCGTATCTTGGAAGTTATGATCGCTGATGAAGACCGTAACGTGTGGAAATTGTTCCTGAGCAAGGCTGTGATGGGCAACGGCGACGATCGCGACTTTGAACAAGCTTTGGGTGTCTGTCGCAATGGATGGGAACGTCAGCGCGTGCTGACGGCACAGGCAGACAAGCTCTTCGATAAGGGAGAGTATGACCGTGCAGCTGTCATTTACGCCAAGACGACACGTTCCTTTGAAGAAGTGGCGCTTAAGTTTCTTGAGAAGGAGACGCGAGATTCATTACTTCTCTTCTTGTTGCAGAAGCTGAAGAGCTTAGGAGGAGATGAGAAGACACAGAAGACGGTCTTGTGCTCCTGGATTGTCGAGCTCTTCTTGGACAAGTTTAACGTGCTTAAGGGTAGTGCACAAGATGTCGACGCCCACGCTAATTTGCTGTTCGAGTTCAAGCAGTTCCTGCAGGACCAGAAGAGCCACTTGGACCCAGCCACGACTTTCAACCTGATCTCCAGTCATGGTCGACCTGATGAGCTGGTGTTCTACGCAACTCTCATTGAAGATTACGAGAAAGTGATCACATATCACGTGGATCGTGGCGAGTATGGTGCTGCAATTGAGTTGCTACGCAGCGTGGAGACGTCTAAGGTGGAGGAGCTCTGGTACAAGTATTCCCCCGAGTTGATCATCCACAAGCCGAAAGAAGTGTACGAGGCCTGGCTTGAGGCTGCCACGTTGAACCCGACACGTCTTATCCCGTCCATCGTGCGTCATGTGCACCAGAAGAGCGGCGTGGGTGGCAATCCAACTAGCAACACCACCAAGAACCGCTCAGTGTTGGATATGGCTATCCGGTTCCTGAAGTTTGCCATTAAACAGGGCAACCGGGACCCTACTATCCACAACTACTTGTTGTTTTTGTTGGCAAAGCATCCGGACGAGCGCTTGCTCATCAGCTTCTTGCGCAAGAAACACAATGGCAAGCATCTATTCGACATTGCCTTTGCTTTACGTCTTTGCACGCAGAACGAGAAGAACCGCGCGTGTATCTACATCTACTCGGCCATGGGACTGTATCAGGACGCGGTGGAGAAGGCACTTCAAGTGGATGTGAAGATTGCGAAAGAAATGGCCAGCATGCCCGAGGATGACGAGACTCGTAAGAAACTGTGGACGTTGATTGCCAAGCACACAATTGATGCCGGTGGTGAGATTAAGGACGCCATGAACATCCTGAAAGAAAGTGGCTTGCTGAA